ATTATTATTATTATTATTATTATAAACGTATGCAGGCACCAATTCGAATATTTCCGACACAATAAGGGAAGCGCTTTGTCGCTCTGTCGTCAATGTGCAAGCTTTCAGTTGATTGCTGTGAGGAAATTTATTTTGGTCGCGTTGGAAATTACGCGCGCTCTTAAGCGGCACGAAAACCAACGAAATCGCTCCGAGGAAGATCCCTCACCCTCATCTCCTCTCATGTAGTTGCCCAAGTCTCCCAGCGCTCCTGCGGCCAGAAACGAGACTCGCCATCAATCAATGATGCCTTTCTGCGGTGAGGCTCAGGCCATGAGGCCTGTTCTTGCACCTGACCACGCAAATTCCGCTACGCTCCTTTTATCGTTTGACAGAGAAAGGAGGTATCACTCAGATGACGAAACAGGCGATATGAATTTTTGCTTCATTTAGGCTTGAGGGTCTTTTACATGCAGTAAATATACAACATGGGACGGCTCTGAAAGAGGAGTTCCACCTTTGAATTACCATCTAAAGACGATCCTTTCAAATAGATCAACCTATTCTTGCCGCCACTGTTCGTTCTCGTGAGAGTCGTGAAACGCTCTGGCAAAGCGGAGGAAATGGGCTGAGGTGGTGCATAGTATAATCGTACAGCTGAGATTCACGGAAGCCCAAATCAAGGGACAAACAGAATTAAAAGTTTTCTCTCCCATCCCATCGCAAGCTGACGCGTGTAATCTAATTTGTTGTTTCATTCAAAGTACAACTAAATAATCTTTGATTCCTTTAGTGAAGAATAATCAACTCAATATTGTTCTTAAATTCTCTATTGTTCTCTGTAAATTTGTTTATTGATATATACCAAGGAGCATGTAAAATTTTGTGAAGAAATATATTTTGAGTTGTTTGAAATTTATGAAGATTGGTGTAAGAGTCAGTGCACCAAATAGGGCATGCAGATGAGAGGTCTATTGATAGTTTTATATAATAAGATTCCACAATAAAAACGTAATTTCTAGTTTTAATGTTATAAGGATGCAATTTTGATATTGTATTATATGTTTTGGCAACGTGTCTTCAAATATCTTTAAATAAGGGGGTATACATTTTCTTTTCTTTTTTAAACATGTTTTCTCAAAAAAGGCTCCAAATTTTGAAATATATTTTTTGTATTGGATGGAGCCAAGAACGCTTAAAATTGTTTGGGTCCCTTTTTGAAGTCCTGTCGTGTTAACTCCAAGATCGGCAGTTCGAATCCCAGCCCGGAGAAAAAGTTGTTGGTTGGAAACACTTCTGAAGACTTATGTAGAATTATAGTATTGCGTAACCATTAGAGAAATAATGGTGTTCTGTTACATCACTAGTTACAAAATATCATAAAGAGAGTAACTTTTCTCTTGTTTTGAGGTCACTTATACAAAATTTCGTAAAGATCGCAATAATACTGTAGACGTATATGAAAAGCTTTTTCAAGAAAAGAAATTTTTTTCGAATGAAATATGGTAATCTTGAAAAGGTAGTCTAAATTATGCCAGACAACACACTGTTTCTCAATGTTCAATGCATTTCAACTGAATCTCATCGAAATAGGTTCAGCCGATCTCGCGACAACCACAGACAAAGAACGTAAAAATATTGAATTGTTTTTTATATCGTATAAATGAGGAAATATCATATAAAGATCAACACTGTTCCAACCAGACGCGGTGCTTGCTTTACCACGTTGCTGATTCGTTGTGGTTGTTTTTTTTTATATACCGGCTTAGAAGACTCAGGGCGTTAATTGATGTCACTGCAGTGCGCCGGACCGGGACATCCTAGGGATCGAGTCTTGTCGGTGGCAGGATTTTCGACACTAGCTAGGTAGATAGATCGAATTCAGCTGTTGTCGGGGGAAGGGGGAATTCCTGGGGTAGGCTGCTCTAATTGGTAAATTCTCGTGGTTTCTCTAATCGACACCTGGCGAATTCCGGAGCAGTTCTTTTACAAACGGGACATGGACCAGAGAAATCGTGGAGAAAACAACAATCAGAGTTAGTGGGCTGCTAGAATTCTGCTCCAGCCGCGCGGCTGAATTCAACCTAACTTCATTGAACACTTCTTGTAATGCCATATACTGATTAGTGCGTAGGCTAGACTCCCGAAGCTCCTAGCGCCTTCTTATGAGACTTATCCTGAGCAATTACATCTAAGGTAGTTTGCCATTGCTTTCCCTAGGGGCGCCAATTTTGACGTTTGATTTAAATTCCAGATAGCGCAGGCCAAGATACAAAATCCGCACTCTTATCCAGTAATTCAAATCGAAACTCTGACTAGTGCTAAATTGCTAGAGATTTAATTTTGACGTGATGAGCCTAGTGCCTTTCCTGGGATTTGTTTTACTCGCCGGGAAGCGTCCACATGCATCCCGTAGATTTTTGACCTCTCAAAACTCCCCCAATTTTGCCCGGCGTGATAACCACCATACCACCAATGCCTTTATTGTACACTCAACTTTTGAATATCCCAACAGTTTCAAATAATGCGAGAAGGTATCTGCTGTCGTAGCGCCTGTAATGCTTCCGTTTGTCGTCTGCCAATACATCTATGGTAGTTTGCCATTGCTTTCCCCTTCCTTTGAATACCAGATAGGGCCAAGATACAAAATCCGCACTCTTATCCAGTGATAAAAATCGAACCTTTGATTAGTCATAAGTTGCTAGAGATTTAATTTTAACATGATGAGCCTAGGGCCTTTCTTACCGGCAAGCGTCCACATGCATTCCGTCGATTTTTGACCCCTCAAAACTCCCCCGATTTTTCCAAACATGACAACCACCATCAATGCCTTTATTGAACACTGAACTTTCGAATAGCCCAAAAGTTCCGAACAATGCGAGAAGGTATGTGCTGTCGTAGCGCCTCTAATGCTTCCGTTTGTCGTCTGCCAATACATCTATGGTAGTTTGCCATTGCTTTCCCTAGGGGCGCTAGTGCACCAATTTTGACGTTTGATTTGAATACCAGATAGGGCCAAGATACAAAATCCGCACTCTTAACCAGTGATACAAATCGAACCTCTGATTAGTGCTAAATTGCTAGAGATTTAATTTTAACATGATGAGCCTAGTGCCTTTCTTGCCGGCATGTGTCCACATGCATTCCGTCGATTTTTGACCCCTGAAAACTCCCCCGATTTTTCCAGGCATGACAACCACCATACCATCAATGCCTTTATTTAACATCGAACTTTCGTATATTCCAAAAGTTTCAAATAATGCGAGAAGGTATCTGGTGTCGAAGCATCTCTAATGCTTCCGCGTTTGCAGGTGGGCGGTGTCGACGGTGATGACGCGCCACAACCAGATCCCGGCGCGGGGCGGCGGCGCGGCGCCCGTGTCGGCGCTCATCCCGCTGTGGGACCTCGGCAACCACGCCGACGACGGGGTGAGTAACATCACGCGCTGCGATGGCTGAACTTTTACGACACTTGTCGCAAAATTTGCCTTTTTTTTCTTTTTTTCTTCTTTTTTCCTTTTTTCTTCTTTTTTTTCCTTTTTTCTTCTTTTTTTTCCTTTTTTCTTCTTTTTTTTCCTTTTTTCTTCTTTTTTTCCTTTTTTCTTCTTGTTTTCCTTTTTTCTTTCCTTTTTTTCCTTTTTCTTTTCTTTTTTCTCCTTTTTTCTTTTCTTTTTTTCCCTTTTTTCTTTTCTTTTTTCTTTTTATTTTTTCCCTTTTTTCTTCTTTTTTTCCTTTTTTCTTTTCTTTTCTTTTTTCTTTTTCCCCCTTTTTTTTCTTTTTTTCTCCTTTTTTCTTTTCTTTTTCTTTTTCTTCTTTTTTTTTCTTTTTTCTTTTCCTCGTTGGTATAATGTCACCATAAAGATTAGATAAATTTCCTCCAATTTCTAACGACGCGTATCACAACTGGAAATTTTGTTAAAATGACGGGAATTGCTCACTTTGATTATCTTGTAAGGGAAAGTTTGAAGGTTGGATTTTTCTCTCCTAAAGAGAGGCATTTTTCTTTATACCTGTCGTGAAAATCGATAAGTTACGTTTCGACCCCTCGTAGAGCCCCGCTTAGTTTGAAAAGACTTTACCGGGTAACATGATAAGTGATTGATTTCTTCCGGGCAACGTGGCCCGTTGT